GAAAAACCAACTGAAACCGAGTTATTACCGACGATACTTCCAACTGAAATTAACGACGAACGGCGACGATTCACGACGAAAGGTTTGAGGTGTTTTGTTTCTTGGTCGACAACGAACACGATGGTGGTTTCGGTTAGTCGATTGGAGGTCGGACGACGAGTAGATCGGAGTTCAAAGGTGAGTTGAGGGAGACGAGAAAAACTGGAAAATCTACAGAAAACACACGGGGAAGGAGTTATAATTCATCTCATAAATAAAAAGGGTTAAACTATGAGTTTAGCCACTGAATTTCCTGCACTTCTTAAAACGGTATGCCAACTTTAAAATTTTATAATTTAATCAACCATTTCTTTCAAAATACCAATTAAATCCAATACTTTATAATTTCTAAAAATTTAGCCCATAAATTGGGGTGTTATAGTCCCTAAACACAATCGTGATTTGATTAGATAAAACCAATTAATAACTTCGTTTTATAATTCTTCTTAGCCATTGATAACACACAAATACTACAAACACATTAATTCAAAATTTAGATTCTATAGATAAAATAACAACCCATATTACTACTCATACCGCTTAATGAGTCCAAACTAACTAATAACTCACCTCTCATATTCATACATGACAAAACTTATATATACTAAAAGACATGATACCTTAATCATACGTGGATGGACATGGTACCCGAACTCGATGGATTCTGATCTAATTCGCCCTGATAGAGTCAGTTTTTTTAGAAAAATTTTGGGTTTTGGTCGAGTTATGATTTAAGGTGAAAAATACCCGACTTGACATGATAGAGTAAATTTTAAAAAAATCGAGTTCGGGTCGAGTTTTTTAGAAGTCATATTTGGGTAGGGTTGGGTTGGTTTTAGGGTGAAAAATACCAAGGAATAATTGCTTTTATATCTATTTTTATATTATTTTTCAATTAAATTCATATTTTTATTGAATAAAAATATATTTTTTAATAAATATATTATTTCAAATCAGATCGAATTCAGATTTTATCTTAAAAATACAAGTTGTATGAAATAAAAATCCGACCGGCTCAACCTGACCCACACCCATATAATATACATACTTTATTTGCTTTTGAAATGCCCGCTTACTTTGACCAATTGTTTTAGAATAATTCCTCTTTGCATAAAGTAAAACAATAAGGCTTTTTATTATTGAGCAGGTATTTATATATATTACTAAATCAAATATTGTCAATGTTCTTAACTAATTATCACATATCCAATGGACTTTCATTTTCGCACTTGTTTGTAGGCCCGTTCTTGCCTTCTAATTCTAATATTTAAAATAATAGGCTATGGTCGTTATCGTTTTTCATTATTTGATAAGTAAAATTATTCGAAAAACAAACAATTTGACGTGGTAATGATTGTAAACTTTTAATAAATTAGGATAATGAATATTTCCATATTTTAACCATGCTCGATGTTTATGTTCCCGACCATATTAAACGTAACATTAAAAGTTAGACAATCAAAAATGAAAAGGATTAAATATATAAAAGGTGCCTAACGTATGTCACGGTTTCCAGTTTAGTGTCTAACGTTTATTTCGTTCCAAATTGGTGTCTAACGTTTCATTTCGTTACTCATTTAGTTGTCAACTGCGTTAATTTTCCCGTTAAGTAGCACGTGTCACAACCTGGTAATTTTAAAAATTTTATTTAAAATTAAATATATATATATATATATTAAAAAGAAAACATAAATTTGAAATAAAACCAAAACTTTTAAAACCTTCATTTCAACCCCTAAACCCACGCCGGCCGTCGCCTTTTGCCGTCGATGAAACTCCACCCGACCTCCCTTCCCCTCAGCGACCAAGACTCCCATGAAATCGTGACCAATCGAGAGTCGATTGACCATCAGAATCGCTTGGGATCGCGATTTTCATCATAGGGTTCGTGGATATAAAACGTTGATTCGTCATTGATCGGCTGTCGATCAGTCACAATTTCATGAGGGTTTTGGACCTTCGATTGGTCACGATTTCATGGGGGATTTTGGTCACCGAGGGGAAGGGAGATCGGGTGGAGTTTCGTCGATGGTAAAAGGCGGCGGCCGATGTGGGTTTAGGGTTTAAATGAAGGTTTTCAAAGTTTTGGGTTTATTTTAAAATTTGTGTTTTCTTTTTTAAAATATATATAATTTTAATTTCTTAATTTTAAATAAAAATTTTAAAATTAGCAGTTGTGACACGTGTCACTTAACGAGAAAATTAACGCCGTTGACGGTCTGAGTACCTAAATAAGTAACGGAGTGAAACGTTAGACACCAAACTGAAACAAAATAAGCGTTAGGTACTAAATTGAAACAACTGACATACGTTGGGAACCTTTTATATATTTAAGACAAATAAAAATACTAATATTTATTTTGATCTATTCAAAATTTTAATACAAGTTAGTTTGAGATTTTATTTTTACAAAAATTATAATTATTACGTTGGGGTATTAGAATTTATGTGTTTATTAAAAAAACACAGTATAAGGTTTTCATGTATTTAAGGTTAAAGTTTGAGTTTGAAACTTTAATCGAGTTAAGTTTGAGATTTTTTCCATTTCGAGATTTTATCAAATTCAATTAATGATTTCAACGAATAAACAAAAAAAATATTAGACTCACGAGTCTTCAGGTCGAGTCGAGTTAGAATCCCTTCTTGTGTTGAGGATCTTGTCAGACTTGGAAAGTTGATTTTGAGTCACTCAAGGGTGGAAAATGTATTGAGCAATTTGACTGATTTCATCGTCATGGAAGATTTATTAGCTTTTGTCCTTCCTGTTATGCTGCCTTTATCACATGGTATCATTCGCCAATGATCCTAACGTAGTTTTGTCCGCCACGAATCTCATCTATGATTTGTTTTTGACTGATTTGTTATTCCTCTCTTCATCTATGAAGTACGGAGACGACACTTCTTACATGTTTCAAGTACCCGAAACATCCCTTGATCAGGAACGACACGGGGACGTACCGAGGTTGTGCCACGGTGACAGGTACGTCTGACCAAGCTCGGGGCGGTCAACCCAATTCTGAGGATGTTTTGGGGGACGGCATATGACTATCACATGCGTTCCCGAAGTAATTATGTCATTTTACATTAAAAATAAAAAAATAAACAAAACCTAATTTTGACTTTTTAAGAAGCACAGGGCAGTAAAATCTCAGCATTTGCGCCTATACATAGCATTTTACATAGCCATGCTAAGAACAGCTTTGAAGACTAGAGTTGTTTTGTGTATATATAGAGCATTTGGGGTTGATGTTTTCTTTTCAGTTTGTGGATGTTGCTGCCTTTCAAGCTGTTTGAGAATGATTGAAAACTCGAGTCGAATTTCATTTTCTTTTCCGTTAAGCATGGAATTAATCTTTGGTTCTGCATTTATGTATTAGTGGGTGTATTTGTCTTTGCTTTGTTTGCGTGGGTGAAAAGGTTTTGTTGGGTTTAGTTGCATAATTCAGGCTTTGTTTGCGTGGGTGAAAAAATAGATGCGGATACTTGCCTTGAGTATGTGTTGGAGTAGGAACCGCTAATACAGGTGCAGTGTGTGTAGAATTCTTTTTATACTTTTGGGTAATTTACAAATTTAGTAATTAAACTTTACTCTCTTCTATTCAATTTCTTATGTGAATATAATACATTGCGTTTTTTGGTCACTTATTCATTTCCTAACTATCGACGTAATGACATGACTTTTTTATTTTATTTTTTTAATGGATAAATTATAAATTTAATTACTGAATTTAACTCTCTCTTATTTCACTTTTTTTAATTAATGTTTGTGTATGCTCTTGAGAAGATGCAACTTCTGGATAATGTCATCCAAATGCATAGGTAAATTTCCGGCTCGAACATTAATCTTATGTCTGATTCTAGTCACTGGTCAGGGTAAATTTGTATATTCAGTTTAGTTACTTTCATCTGTTCACTCATGAAGACCACAGAAGTCGATTTATCTCTCTGATTGCATCTATGTGAGTGCCTGGTAACAACAAACATAACAAAGGAACCCGAGACGAAGAGATGTTCATGTGATTAATTCTGTCCACCGTTTTCACCGTAGCCGGGGCTGCTATATCTAACCATTGGAAATACCGAGAATTGTTGAACTTTTCACTCCATCCAAAACTGAACATGAACATTACTTACAAGGAGACATCCAAAACTGAATATCAAAAAAATCAAAATGAAGATTTAACCCTCCGTAAAGGATCCCAACAGAAATAGAACGGTAAACGAGGTCCCATAAAGAATCAAGATGGAGAATAAATATCATGTAGAATCAGGACATGGAATAATTCCTATGCCAATATCAGAAATGCATCAACATACAAATTAATGATGATGTCACATTATTCCTAAGTCAGATATGTCACGTAAATATAAATATATACATATAATCAGTTCACGAACATGTTTATAGATAGCAACATATAACATAACATGTTAAATATATCGAATAGGTCAGTGGACACACCTATAAGAGATAATCAATATCGGCTAGGCCTTACATTTCCCACTATCAGTAGTATTAATCCTGCAGATTGAGAATCTAAAACAATACTCTTCCATAAATGCAGATGCCAATAATCTAAACAGAAATATACTATAAAATCATTAATCTAATACTTACACGTATTTCGAGACGATTGAGCAGACTCGACTGAATATAATGAGAGTGGTCAGGGTCTATTGATGAGCGATCTAGAGACATGAGGATACCAATTAAAATTTGTTGATCGTTTCAATTCTTAAAATCTCAAAATATTCACAAAATTGGTTCTTTACCTTGAATCCTCCGATTCATTCCATTAAACTTCAAGGAAAGAGCTTGATTTATTGGTCCAATTAAATTCCTCTGTAGGCAGCTTCCTGGAAAATACAGGAATATTGGTATTTTTTTGACGCGTTTCTGTGAAAAGGAATTTAAAGTCCTTTTATTCGCATCATTTTGTCCAATTTCTCAAAAGCAGCTTCTTCCTCTCTTGCTATCTCTTGTATCTGTCTACTAATCACAGTATCCATTCTCTTTCCTCTTAATGGCTGCTTCTTCTTCTTCTTGTCATTTGAAGTATCAAGTTTTCTTGAGCTTCAGAGGTGAAGACACGCGCCTAAACTTCACCAGCCATCTCCGAAAAGCTCTGAAAGACACCGGCATGAACGTCTTCTTCGATGAAGATAAACTGGAGAAAGGGGAGCAGCTTTCACCGGCACTTTCCCAAGCAATAGCAGCTTCAAATCTCTCAATAGTAGTCTTGTCTGTCGACTATGCTTCTTCCAAATCATGCTTAGCCGAACTCTGTGACATCATGGGTCGCAAGGGAACTCAACAACATACTGTTCTTCCATCTTTTACCATGTTGATCCTTCTCATGTCCGAAACATTGTTGGAAGTTTTAAGGCATCCTTTGAAGAGCATGAATCGAATAGGCCACTTGATGAAGTGAATCGATGGAGAGATGCCTTTGTTGAAATCGGCAAATTAAAAGGGTGGCATATACAAGGCGGTAAACTCGATAGGTAACCATATACACTATACATATTTATCTTCTTATATTTGACATGTCGTTGAGTATGTCATAAAAGAATTGAATAGCAAGTCTAAAAGTGTTTCTAAAGAATTAGTTGGAATAGATGATCAGAAAAAATATCTTGCAGCTAATCGAGGAAGAAGATAGTCGAATAATAGGACTTTGGGGAATGGTGGTATTGGCAAGACTTCCCTTGCTGAAGCTGTCTATAATGAAATCTCTCCAAAGTTTCAATGTCGTTTCTTCCTTCAAGATGTTAGAGAGAAAATAGAAAACACAGGGGAAGGAATCTTTACGAAATGAACTTCTTTCCAAACTATTGAACTCGAAAACTTGTGTAGACACCCCCTCCATAAGTTCCCTCTCAACCCAACAGAGGCTCAATAATATAAAAGTAATCGTCGTCCTTGATGATGTTAGTGACTCAGAGCAGATAGATCTTATGGGTGTAGAACATTTTGGTGATGGAAGTAAAATTATCATAACATCCAGAGATAGGCAAGTAATTACGAATGGAGGAGCTGACAAAATACATAAGGTGAATAAGTTAAACGAGGATGACTCTCTTCAACTCTTTTCTACATTTGCATTTAAGTCGTTGAATCTTGCTCCTGATTTTCGAGATCTATCGAATAATTTTTTGTGGTACGCAGAAGGCAGTCCACTTGCTCTTAAAGTTTTGGGTTCTAAACTATATAAAAAATCTAGAAAAGAGTGGGAAAGTGAGGTGGGCAAGCTCAAGGAATATGCAAAACCAAAGATTTCACAGATTTTGATGAGTAGTTTTGAAGAGTTGGATGAGCAAGAGAAGAATATATTTCTCGACATAGCTTGCGTCTTGAAAGGGGAATCCAAGAAAAAAGTAGAAGAAATTCTAAGTTGCTTGTATGAGGATGAGGGTGCAATGAGTGGAATAAGCGATTTGCTTGATAAGTGTCTAATTGAAGTGAATTCCAATGGGGTGATTTGCATGCATGATATGCTTGAAGAGATGGGAAAAGACATTGTTCGCCGAGAATCTAAAGATCCTGGAGAGCGCAGTAGGTTATGGAGTCTTAAAGACATGATCCAAGTGCTCAAATATAATAAAGTAAGCGTTAGTTGTATCTATATTCCTTTTTTTCCTTCCATATTTGTGTGATTTTAATTGAAATTTATATTTGATATAATGTCAATATATAAATTAATTTAGTTATATGTTGTCATCTGTCAAATTGTTTCAAATATTTGAACTATCATTTCAAAAAGTAAAATATTTATTTACTTACTATACATATAATGACCAATGTTTTAGGGTATAACATGGAATCTACTCAAGTTGTACTGTGTTAGTGAAATACCTAATTCGTTGCTTATAAAATAGAGAACGTATTTGTGTTGTCTAAAACTTTTAGTAATAAAAAGATGTCTGATTAGTCTAAGCGTTTCTTGGTATAATTATATTTTGTAATGAGTAATTTTAATGAAATGTTCATATAATTTTGTCTGTAACGAAACTCGTTAAATTGTTTCTTGTTATTAGGTGAATAAATCAATTGAAGGAATAAAGCTTTTCGTGAGTCGACTTGAAGACCAGCTGTTATTATATTCTGGTTTTGAGAAGATGCATAATCTTAGATATATCATCCTTTATACATGTCCGTTCTCTGTTAATAGTGCATCTTTTTCTGATGAGCTAAGGTATCTTCATTGGGACTTTTGTCCCTTGAAATGCTTATCATCAAATTTTAATCCAAAGAATCTTGTTGTGTTGAAACTAAGAGAGAGCTTCATAGAACAACTTTGGAAGGAAGATCATCAGGTATTTCATGTTTTTGTTTTTATTTTCGATACATCCAAAATAAGTGGATAATGCAATTATTTTATATTTTCAATGTACAGGATCTTGTTAATTTAAGGTCAATTGACCTTTCTGGTTGCAAGAGTCTAGTGGAGATCCCTAATCTATCAGGAGCCATCAAGCTTCAAAGCCTTTGCTGCAATGGGTGTGAAAGTTTGGTTGAACTACTTTCCCTCAACCAGTTGGAATCTCTTGAAAGCCTCGACCTTTCTGGTTGCAAGAGTCTTGGGAAGATCCCTAATCTATCAGAAGCCATAAAGCTTCAAAGCCTTTGCTGCAATGGGTGTGAAAGTTTGGTTGAACTACCTTCCCTTAACCAGTTGGAATCTCTTGAAAGCCTTGACCTTTCTGGTTGCAAGAGTCTGGGGAAGATCCCCAATCTATCAGGAGCCATCAAGCTTCAAAGCCTTTGCTGCAATGGGTGTGAAAGTTTGGTTGAACTACCTTCCCTCAACCAGTTGGCATCTCTTAAAGAGCTTGGTCTGGAGGAATGTCATAATCTTAAGAAGTTTCCTGAGCTCCCAAATAATCTCTCTGAGTTAGATTTAAGGTACACTGGAATAGAACAAGTGTCGGATTCGATTCAGCATCTTGTTGGACTTAGAAAGTTGAGTTTGAGTCACTCGAGGGTGGAAACTGTATCGAGCAATATTTCAAAGTTGGAATCCCTTAACGTTTTGGAACTTGAGTATTGCGTAAGGCTTACAACACTCTCAAAGCTTCCACGATATCTGCGGTGCTTGAATGCAAATTATTGCCGCTCATTGAAGAAAGTATCCTTCACCGATCATAATTCCAATTCATTCTTTTCTTTACATGATGGTGATGACACTCCTCGTGATGAAAAGGTTTCCATGTCATTCCTTAATTGCTTCAAGCTGAATCTACATTCAATTAAAAATATTGAGAGAAACGCGGTGCTTCAAATTCAATCCCTAGCACAGAGATGGGCAAGGAGGCAAGGGAGGGGTTCTTTTGGAAATCAATTTTTTTGTTGTTTCCCAGGAAATGAAGTCCAGCAAATGAGTTTGAGCATCGAACCGTGAATCCTGGGTTAAATTTAAAGATAGCCCCAAATGCGTGTAGTGGGAGCAGATTCTTGGCATTTGCTTTATGCTTTTTGGCTCATCCCCTGTTTGTAGTCGGAGATGTTGGATTTATCTGTAAATACCAACTGACAGCTTCCAGTGGTGAAAAGTTCATGAGAGAGAGTCGCGTTTCTTGGAGAGAGGACATGGGCTACATACACAAAGGTCATGTGTTCATTGTGTTTAATAAGGATATGATTATAAGAGACAATGATTATGAGGAGGCATCATTTGAGTCCTACAACGAAGGTCAACTTGGTAGACAATATTCACCGTTGGAATGGGGTGTTCATGTATTTATGTGGATGCAGAGAGTTATAACATTAGTGATGTGATGATTTGTGATAAAAGAAGTAGATTTAGGTATTGGAGGTGAACAAGGGGATGGAGGGAGTTTTCACTTCTTTTAATCATTGTTTGTGTACGCAGATGCAACTTCACAATATTGCCATCCAAATGCATTGGTAAATTTCCAAATTGAAAACTACTCTTACTTTGTGATTCTGATTAGGGTCCTTAAGAATTTAATTGCTTCTGATGCCAGTAATGCAGAAGTTATCACTATCAATGTAATTGATAATAGACTAATTAGAAATTAAGACTAATGTGAAATTTTATTTATTAAGGTTGTGATCTATAGTAACGAGGGATCCAAAAATAATTTTAAAGATGAGAATACATATATATTAACAACATCGTAAAATATTTGTGTATGATGGACACATAAAATTCCAAGATGGATTTGACCGATATAATAGATAATTAATCGAAGAAAATTTAAATTTTAAGATGGACAACAAGACGTGGATATGTCATTGTCCTTAAAATACATATGATATATCTTTGATGATCAGTTTATGGATGAATTCAAACACTCTTTCATATTTAATCTTTTGTTCTTGATAATATGATGCGATATATTTTTAGTGATCAAGTTTTATATCATGTCAGAGTTCCATATGATGTACCTTTGAATCCTAAATTAATCTTATATGATTTGGACTTCAAATATTAATGTCATCCTTTGACTTCAAATATTAATGTCATCCTTTGACTTCAAATATTAATGTCATCCTTTGACTTCAAATATTACAAGTCATCCTTTGAAATGTTGTTTGTTTTTTCTTTCTTTTTAATCTTTCTTTATATAATTAAATGTAGAAATATTATAAAATAATGAAAGCGTAATTTATCAAGTAAACATGACAATGATCTTATATTTACAAATATTATTAAAAAAAACAAGAGTAGTTTACCTTGTAAACTTGACAATGCTCTTATCTTTATAAAAAACCTTTCTTCCTAGACCGTTACCCCATTGCATATGGGAATAGAGTTTTGTTGTTGTTGTTGTTGTTTCTTCATAAAATTAAATATAGAGATATTATAAGAAAATGAAGCGTGGTTTATAAGTAAACTTGACAAATCTCTTATTTTTATAATAAGAGTTAATTGTATTACATGTTCTCGAAATATGACTCTCTTTTCAAATTGGCCCTAAACTTTTAAATAATTCAATTTCATTCCTAAACTATGATTATCATACTAAATTAGTTTTTTAACTTTTGAATATTTTAATTTCATCCCTAAATTATGTCATTCATTCTAAATTGGTCCTCAAAGATTTTGTACATTCTAATTTCATCACAAACTATACGCATATATTGATCACAACCCTTGTTAATAAAATCGTTAGGTCAAGTTATATTATTATATGTAAAAAATAGGTTAAACCATGGTTGAAACTAATTACATAATTGGGTGAATTTGTGGATGAAATTGCAATATTCAAAAGTTTGGGGGATCGGTTTAAAAAGAGGGTCATAGTTAGGGATGAAATTAGAATGATCAAAAGCTTAAGAACTAATTTAGAATGAGAGTCAACATTTAGGGATAAAATTGAAATATTGAAATGTTTAAGGACCAATTTAAAATTAGAAGTTTACAATCGAATTATTTTGCTCACTCGATCGTTTTCTCTCTAACAATTGATGATGTGACATTTTTTTATTATTTAATATAGACTAATTAAAAAATAAAATAAAAACAGAAGGTGGTCGGATGCCACTGTAGGCCACCATCAACCACTGTAAATGGTGGTCGTTTTTCCTAAAATGGGATGAGTCGCTTCGTCTCGACACCTTGAGTCTGTATCCGACCATTTTGTCAAAACTTGTTTCGAAGTCCACGAATTTGAGATTGAAAATGAGAAACTGAAACATTTCAGTTCAAATTGAAGGGTTTTGGGATATTTTTTGGTGAAACAACCACATATTCGGACTCAGGAGGTCGAGACGAACCGACCCATGAAATTTAGGACTGAACGGCCACCATATACTATGGTCGACGCTGACCAGAATGAAATTGATGTGGTGGCGGACAGAGAGAAAATAAGAAGAGAAGAAAAAAAAGGATAAATTACACTATGAGCATATGATTATAAGAGACAATAATTATTATGAGACATCATTTCAGTTCTACATCAAAGGTCAACTTGGTAGAAATCGTTTTGGAGAAAAAAACTACAGTGTTGGAACGTGGAGTTCATGTATTTTATGTGGATGCAGAGAGTAATAGCATTAGTGATGTGATTAGTTGTGATGCTAAAAGAAGATTTAGCTATGGGTGGTGGTGAACAAGGGGATGGAGGGACTTTTCACTTCTTTTAATCTTTTTTTGTGTATGCAGATGCAACTTCACAATATTGCCATCCAAATGCATTGGTAAATTTCCAAATTGAAAACTACCCTTCCTTTGTGATTCTAGTTAGGGTAAATTTGCACCTTAAGAATTTAACTGCTTCTGATGCCAGTAATGCAGAAGTTATCACGATCAAGTTCCCTTGAATTTGTGTCCCTACCATGGAAAGAAGCTGCTTGCAGACAGAATTGATGGTATATTTATTGGGAGTGTTACCCCTTCAAATCCTTGTCACCAAGTTTTAATCCAAAGAATCTTGAGTTGGAACTAAGATTTGGCTGAATGCAACAACTTTGAAATGAAGTTCATCATGTATTTTATATATATATTTTTATTTTTTTTTTTTTTTTATACGGTCTATAATAAGTCGATAATATGTGGTAGTTATTTTATATTGGGTAAACTACTAATATGACCACTTAACTATGAGATTGGTGTCGATATAGTCATCATACTTTCAATTTTGCTGCTGCTGCCACCAACCCTGATCGTTAATCAATTGCTTCCTCTACTACCGCAGCATGTGATTTGTCGTTGATCCAAAATTACTACATGTATCCGATCTCAAACTTTTACTCCATCACAACGGAGCTCACCGTCGACTGTCATTAAGTTCCATTTGTCGCTGTTGTTTGTACAACAGTAGTTTACTACGTAGATAGATTTTGCTGCTGTTGTTTGTACAAAAAGTACAACATGTGTGCTAATTCGGAAAAACTAAAAAGAATTCAGTCTCTTCAAGAAAATATAACCCAGCGGATAGTGGTAAAATATGTAGATACGTAATAGTTAACTAATTTTTAATTGATAATAGATTGTAATGCTAATTTTTATTTATTAAGTTTGTGATCTCTTGTAGTAGTGACGATCCAAAAATAATTTACGGATGAATTCAAATACTCTTTCACATTAAATATTTTGTCGTTAATAATATGATATGATGTATTTTTAGTGATTAAGTTTTATCATGTCAGAGTTTGATATGACAACCTTTCTTCGTAGAATTAAATTCTTATCTTTATAAAAACCTTTCTTCATAGAATTAAATGCAAAAATATTATTAAAAAATGAAGCGTAGTTTACCAAGCAAACTTGACAATGTTATTATCTTTATAAAACCTTTCTTCATAGAATTAAATTTAGATATATTATAAGAAAATGAAGCGTAGTTTAGCAAGTAAACTTGACAAAGCTCTTATCTTTATAATAAGAATTAATCACATCAGATGTCCTCGAAGTATGACACTTATTTCAAATTGGTCCCTAAACTTTTAAGTGTTTCAATTTCATTCCTAAACTATGATTATCATTCTAATTAGTCCTTAAACTTTTGAATATTTCAATTTCATCATCAAACTATGACATTCATTCTAAATTGATCCTCAAATTTTTTTCACATTCTAATTTCATCCCAAACTATACGTATATATTAATCACAACCCTTGTTAATAAAATTGTTAAGCCAAGTTATATTATATGTCTGGGGGAAAACAAAATTTAGGTTAAACTGTAGTTGAAACTAATTATATATTGTGTGAATTTGGGGATTAAATGGGAATATTTTAAAGTTTGGGGATTGATTTAGAAAGAGGGTCCTAATTTAGGGATGAAATTTGAATATTCAAAAGTTTAAGGACTAATTTAAGTCATAATTTAGGGATGAAATTGAAATATTAAAAAGTTTAAGGACCAATTCAAGATGAGAGTTATAGTTTAGGGACCTTCTTAATTTATTTTATTCAATATTTTTTCTTGGGATCGCCATTTGCAGTATATTTTCATAAACATTAGAAAGGAATGCTAACATCTTACACTTCACATTAGCTCTATTAAACTTTATTATGGCCGCTATCCCTCTTCGAAAACCAGAGCTTAGACCAATGGAACGATAAAGTAATTCAAAATAACATGGTGATTAAAATAGGAGTAATTCAAAAATTTGAGTGATTAAGTTAAAAAATTTAAGAGTTCAGTGACCAAAATAAAAGAGAGAAGATAGTTGAGTGATGAACAACATGAATTAATGGAACCTTTGGTCAAATGGCCACATTGAGGGTTTTTTTTTTAGTTGGAGGGTCACATTGATCCAAAAAATAGGATGAGGGCTAACATTGAAAGGGGAAAAAAGGAATTCACTCCAATAAGAAAGGGGAATTAGAGTTTTTTTTTTCTATTAATTTGGGTTATTACAAGGCAATATTTATTCAAATATAACTCTCAACCATTTGATATTATAAACTCATACCAACATTTATGGTGTTTGAACCTGAGACCTCAACGAATAACAAGAATTCATTTACCATCGAGATCGCTTGATTTGTGTGGGGAATTAGAGTTTTTTTTTTTTGAAAAGTGATTTGAATTATGTTCCAATGGCATCAAGAATGATTACAGACTTAATACATTCCAATTCATCGTAGTAAAACTAATATGGATTGGGATTAGCAATTTGCTAGATAAGTGCCTACTTCATATGGGTTTTGATGGACAAATTTCTATGCATGATATGCTTGAGGAGATGGGGAAGGACATTGTTCGCCGAGAATCTAAAGATCCTAGAAAGTGCAGTAGATTATGGAGTCTCTCTGACATAAATCAAATGCTCAAAGATAATAAAGTATGAGTTAATTATATGTATTTTTCTTTTCTTTTTTTACATATTTGTGTGATTTTAATTGAAATTTATACTTGATATAATGTCAATATAAATTCATTTAGCTATATGTTGTTTGTTATTATCAGGTGAATAAATCAATTGAAGGAATAAAGCTTTTCGTTTAGCGAATTGAAGAGCTGCTGTTAATGATTACTGCATTCCGATCTCAAATTTTGACTCCATGACAACAGAGCTCGCGTCGACTATCATGTCGTTCCATTTGTCGCTGTTGTTAGTACAACAGTTGTTCACTCCGTCAATTGATTTTGCCTCTGTTGTTTGAACAAAAGTACAACATGTGTGTCAATTCGGAAAAAACTAAAATGAATTCAGTCTCTTCAAGAAAATATAACCCACCGGACTTCACCGTCTAAAATCAATCGTAAAATATGGTTCACATTTAGGGATGGTGGTAAAGAATACACCAAATATGTGTAGATACGTAAATAATTAAGTACTTTGTAATTGATAATAGACTAATTAGAAATTAAGACTAACGTGAAATTTTATTTATTAAGGTTGTGATCTATAGTATGACGGATCCAAAAACAATTTTAAAGATGAGAATACATATATATTAACAACAGCGTAAAATATTTGTGCATGATGAACAAAAATAAAATTCCAAGATAGAATTGACTGATATAATAGATAATTAATCGAAGAAAATTTAAATTTTAGGATGGATAATAAGACGTGGATCTTTTCACTGTCCCCAAAATACATATGATGTATCTATGATGATCAGTTTACGAGTGAGTGCCGCATTTATAAGAGATGGGACGGGATCGGCAGTTACAACAATGATGATCTTGCAGTATGGGGCAGGTGTGACCATGCGTTCATCCTGTTTATTCAGTATATGATTACAATAGACAATGATTATGAGGAGGCATCATTTGAGTTCAAAGTCAGAAATCGTTCCAGAAAAAAATTAGAGAGTTTATGTATTTTGTGGATGCAGAGAGTTAGAGCATTAGTGATGCGATGATATGTGATAAGTCCAACGAGAATTTTGATTCTCAAGAAGATGCTGATATTGAAGAAACCCATGATGGTTCTGCTACAGAAACAAGATTTAGATATGTTGGTGGGGATGGAGGATCTAAAGATTGAAACATTTTCACTTTTAATCTTTGTATCTTTTTCTGATGAGCTAAGATATCTTTTGGTGATGCAATTAAAATCATTGTAACATCCAGAGATAGACAAGTGCTTAAGAATGGAGAAGCTGACACAATACATGAGGTAAAGCAGTTAAATGAGAATGATTCTCTTCAACTCTTTTCTACATTTGCATTTAAATTGTTGAATCTCACTTCTAATGTCCAAGATCTATCGAACATGTTTTTTTGGTACGCCCAAGGTAGTCCACTTGCTCTTAAAGTTTTGGGTTCTAAACTATGTACAAAGTCTAGAAAAGAGTGGGAAAGCGAGGTGGACAAGCTCAAGGATTATGCAAAACCAAAGATTTCACAGATTTTGATGAGTTGGATGAGCAAGAGCAGAATATATTTCTTGGCATTGGCATGCGTCTTGAAAGGGGAATCCAAGAAAGAATACAAGGGTGCAATGTGTGGAATTAGCGATTTGCTAGATAAGTGTCTAAATGAAGTGGATTCCAATGGGGTGATTTGTATGCATGATATGCTTGAAGAGATGGGAAAAGACATTGTTCGCCGAGAATCTAAAGATCCTGGAGAGCGCAGTAGGTTATGGAGTCTTAAAGACATGATCCAAGTGCTCAAATATAATAAAGTAAGCATTAGTTGTATCTATATTTGTGTTATTTTAATTGAAATTTATATTTGATATAATGTCAATATATAAATTAATTTAGTTATATGTTGTTATCTGTCAAATTGTTTCAAATATTTTAACTATCATTTCAAAAAGTAAAATATTTATTTACTTACTATACATATAATGACCAATGTTTTAGGATAATGCAATTATTTACATTTTCAATGTACAAGATCTTGTTAATTTAAGGTCAATTCACCTTTCTGGTTGCAAGAATCTAGTGGAGATCCCTATTAGGAGCAATTAACTGTGCAAATTTGGTTGAACTACCTTGCCTCAACCATTTGGCTTCTCTTGAAAAGCTTGGCCTTTCTGACTGCAAGAGTCTAGTGGAGATTCCTAATCTATCAGGAGCCATCAACCTTCAAATCCTTTGCTGCAATGGGTGTGGAAGTTTGGTTGAACTACCTTCCCTCAACCAGTTGGTATCTCTTGAAAGCCTTGACCTTTCTTATTGCAAGAATTTACGGAAGATTCCTAATCCATTCGGAGCCATCAACCTTAAATCACTTAAGTGCAATTACTGTATAAGTTTGGTTGAACTACCTTGCCTCAACCATTTGGCATCTCTTAAAGGGCTTGGGCTGGAGGAATGTCATAATCTTAAGAAGTTTCCTGATCTCCCAAATAATTTCTCTGAGTTAGATTTAAGGTACACTGAAATAGAACAAGTGTCGGATTCGATTCAGCATCTTATCGGACTTAGAAAGTTGAGTTTGAGTCACTCCAGGGTGGAAAATGTATCGAGCAATATTTCAAAGTTGGAATCCCTTAACGTTTTGGAACTTGAGGAGTGCGAAAGGCTTAAAACACTCAGAGCTTCCACGATTTCTGCGGTGCTTGAATGCAAATTATTGCACATCATTGGAGAAAGTATCCTTCACCGATCATAATTCCAATTCGTTCTTTTCTTTCCATGATGGTGATGATACTCCTCGTGATGAAAAGGTTTCCATGTCATTCCTTAATTGCTCAAACCTGAATAAAGATTCAATTAAAAATATTGAGAGAAACGCGGTGCTTCAAATTCAATCCCTAGCACAGAGATGGGCAAGGACGCAAGGGAGGGGTTCTTTTGGAAACCAATTTTTTTCTTGTTTCGCAGGATATGATGTTCCTGCAAATGAGTTTGAGCATCGAAGCATCGATCCTCGGTTAAATTTAGACATAGCCCCAAATGCGTGTAGTGGGAGCAGATTCTTGGCATTTGCTTTATGCTTTTTCGCTCTTCCCCTGATTGAAGACTCAGATGTTGGATTTATATGTAAATACCAACTAACGGCTGCCAGTGGTGAAAAGTTCATGAGAGAGAGTCGCGTTTCTTGGAGATGGGACAGGGACTACGAAGGTCATATGTTCATTGTGTTTAATAAGGATATGATTATAAGAGACAATGATTATGGGAAGGCATCATTTGAGTTCTACATCGAAGATCAACTTGGTAGACAATATACACCGGTGGTGTGGTATGTTCATGTATTTTATGTGGATGCAGAGAGTTATAGCCTTAGTGATGTGATGAGTTGTGATACAAGAAGTAGATTTAGGTATTGGAGGTGAACAAGGGGATGGAGGGAGTTTTCACTTCTTTTAATCATTGTTTGTGTATGCAGATGCAACTTCACAATATTGCCATCCAAATGCATTGGTAAATTTCCAAATTGAAAACTACTCTTACTTTGTGATTCTGATTAGGGTCCTTAAGAATTTAATTTGCTTCTGATGCCAGTAATGCAGAAGTTATCACTATCAAAGTAATTGATAAAAGACTAATTATAAATTAAGACTAATGTGAAATTTTATTTATTAAGGTTGTGATCTATAGTAAGGATGGATCCAAAAATAATTTTAAAGATGAGAATACATATATATTAACAACATCGTAAAATATTGTGCTTGATGGACACAAATAAAATTTCAAGATTAAATTGACCGATATAATAGATAATTAATCGAAGAAAATTTAAATTTCAGGATGAACAACAAGACGTGGATCTGTCAGTCCTTAAAATACATATGATGTATCTTTGATGATCAGTTTATGGATGAATTCAAACACTCTTTCATATTTAATCTTTTGTTCTTATAATATGACAACCTTTGAACCCTAAATCAAATTAATTTTATATGATTTGAACTTTACATATGAATGTCATCCTTTGACTTCAAATATTACAAGTCATTTTTTATTAGATCATACATTAAATGATTAAACTAACGCTGATTTTGTGGAAATAAAATGAATCGTGCACCTAACCTTTGAAATGTTGTTTGTTTTTCCTTTCTTTTTTTTATACTTCTTCATGTAATTAAATGTAGAAATATTATAAAATAATGAAGTGTAATTTATTAGTAAACATGACAATAATATTATCTTTATAAAAACCTTTCTTCATAGAATTAAATGCAAAATATTATTAAAAAAATAAGCGTAGTTTACCAAGTAAACTTGACAATGCTCTTATCTTTATAAAAACCTTTCTCCATAGAATTAGATCTAGAGATTTTATAAAGAAAGGGTAAACTACATAAATGACCACATAACTATGGGTTGGGTTGCGAAATGACTACTATTTTCAAATTTGCATCAATATGACCACTAAAATATTTAAATGGTTTCGATATAGCCACCTGCCATTAGCACTTAACGAAAGTGTTTGTGGCAACTAACAAAATTGGTATAACTAGGGTATGAGTCCTTGTAAGTTACATATTCACAGCGATGTACCTTGCTTTGTTTTGTTCCACTATGGTCGCTACTTGTATGATTTGTTTCCTTGGATTTTCATTTAATGCAATTTGATCTTGGTTTTGTTTTTAATTTGTATAAAGCCTTAATTTGAGCATTAACTTTAAAATCTTTTATTCTAGTCATGTATTAAATTTATAGATTGAATCCCCTAGATTTTATATGTAACCCCATCAGACCGATGCAGATAACCCGATCCGATCTGAAGTGTCACATTAGCGCCACCGAAGCGACCCACTAATCCACCGAAGCGATCCGATCTTTTATTCTGCAGCACGGGGAGGGGTTATAAATTCTCTCATAAAGGAAAATGGCTAAATTATGAGTTTAGTCACTGAACTTCCTGCACTTCTTAAAACAGTATGTCACCTTTAAAATTTACAATTTAATCCACCGTTTCTTTCAAAATACCAATTAAATCCACCACTTTATAATTTTTTAAATTTTTTGCCCCTAAATTGGGGTGTTACAATTCTCCTCCTTAAAAGAATTTCGTTCTCGAAATTCATTCATGTCACAAAATTGCAGAAATGAAAATTCATCAATTCTTCCATATCTTCACGTAACTTTTATATAAATATGGGTCCTCCACTAATCCTTAACCAGTTGAGCATAAATTCTTATCAGAACTCTCCCTCATTTCAATAAAAGAATTCGAACGAAAATTTTCTTGAGTAATCAATTCAGTCTTGGTTACGAGAATAAGCTTATAATGCAGTAGCATATCCCAATTTCATTTCTGGGGTCGAGTCAGAATTTCTCAAATGAATAACTCTCACATGGCTCGTGAGGTACTTTATAACATTTAAACAAATGTTACTGATATTCTTTTGTGTACAAGTATAGCCTTAACGGATAGAAACTTCGGTTTACTCGTTATAGATAGGGACTCAACCCTGGAGTTCCGGCTCAGAGAGGTACGATTGCAGTCTAGAAGCATGTACTGATCAGAAATATTTTGACATTCGACCGGCCGGTCTATCTTGAAAAATTTTGACTCAAACCATAGCTCTGATACACTAAATGTAACCCCTCAGACCGATACGGATAACCCGATCCGATCTGAAGTGTCACATTATGGCCACCGAAGAGACCCACTGTAAAAATGGTGGAAAATTTAAAACTTTTATTAAAACATGTAACTTATAAACTGATTTATCAGTATGAAGAAATAAAACAGATTTTCAGATTCAAATATTAAAACAAAATACAATTACATGCCCCCTAATCACAAGTACCATACTCTACAGTCGACACTGGAGGGATTCCTTTACTGAAGTCGATAACCGCACTTGTACGATTCTTTTAACCTGAAAAGGTGAGTAACAGAGTGAGCTTCAGAAAGCTCAGTAATACAGAACTACCAGATGATACTGAAGAACGTGCAAATACAGATAAATGTATTTTTCCTTATTGGTTCAGATATTTACAGATTTCTTTGGCTGAGTTGAGGTCTCATTGATATTTCAAGTATTAACAGATAGTATTCAGTTCTGATGGAAAATATTTGGGATGTTTAGGTTCAGGAGATCAGAATAGACTATCTAGTGTGTTCCCAAAAATCATGTAAGTTTTCAGATCTTTTTAAAACATATATATACATATACCCCCATCCGTCAAGTCCAAAATGTGTAGGTTCCCCAGAACCATGCACCCACCGTCAAGTCCAAGGCCCTTAGCATACAGCCGAGGAGCCTCCAAGTATACTTCCTCCAATATTACTCCCCAAATAAAACATGTTCCATCTGTAAACGGATATATCAAATATCAAAACATAATCCAGATCAAGTATCAGATCAAAATCTAGGTCAAGTATCGGATAAAAAATCGAGCTCAAGTATTCGATCAGAATCTAGGTCAAGTATCCGATCAGAATCTAAGTCAGGTATTATAATAGAAATCAAATCGAAAATCAGGTAAAATATCTAGGTGATTAGGGAACACACCAGAGTTTACATAAATTATTCAAAGGTACTGGATAATCTTAGCAGGTAGAGAAACATGAATCTTCAGTATACCGATAAGATATAGAAATTTAGAATCACTATAGGAAGAGTTCAATAACTAACGAAATCATCAGTTATTCAGAATATGACTTGGGCTGATAAGGAAGAAATGAAGATTCAGGACATTTACAGTCTATGTCAATTGATTTCATTATCAAACAACTTCAGATGAATATCTCCCAGAATTAATGCTTATCGACTAGTCAATTCATTGTCATTACAGGGTATTTACACTTTAATACCACAAATTCTAGTCCATATATAATCTTCGGAATCATCGCTGAATAAATCTTCCAATGCCTTTATTTCATGTCACGCTTCTACTATATCATGAAATGCTAACGTGCTTGATTGTAGTTCAAGACCCATAAGAACATTACATCATGTATGTTCATTAACATTTCCAGACTCATCCAAATCACTTACTTAATCCTTAGTCCTTGAGGTTACTTAGTTCATTTAGCATTTAAGTCTATTCCAGTTACTTCAGGATTTTCCAGAGTAATTCAAACGTTACTGAATTTCAGATATATGTTGTACTTCCGTTCCATTCAATTTGGTCTTTGTGGTTGATTTGTCGAACAAATGTCCAATTCTTAGTACTGAATGTGATCTAGAGTTGATCTGAGCTGAATACTTCCAAAACTATCATCGGGCCAAACTTGAAAATACAAACATGCATTCAAGTGACATCTATGTCGTTCAGGTACTGATAAAACACTAGCATTGGTTGCTCGGCTTAATAGGTGATCCATAACTTTTAAGATCAGTACCACACCATGTTATTTGGATTCCTTAATTAATCCAACATCTACTAAGTCTAGGTCATAAGGGTATTTTGGTAATTTTGGTGTTCAGTTTTATTCCATTAATTTCAAAGCTCGAGGATATCCAATTATTCATGAGCTTGGTGGTATTCTTGGGTAATTTTTATCACAGGGGTATTTTGGTCATTTTACAGATTCAGTGTATTTTAATCCTTTTCTTCCGTCCGATCTTACTATTAAATTCAATCGTATCATTTATTTAAGTCATTTCGAACAATTCTAAAAGCAGAATACTCCAATAAATTTTTCTTTAGGTATTTACTCATTACTCGAATATTTTCAGGTCAAGTACCTTCTTAGATTTTACAAACGGAATATCATGAATTTTTCTGTACAAAGACAGATCTTAATAATTAAATTTGTACTTAATCGAGTTAAGTACAGATCCTCAAAGTACTTTCTCATTCAGGGTCAACTCAAACTATTTTATCTCTCAAGGGCATTTTCGTTATTTCTTAACCAGATAATTTCGGTATTACCTCTTAACAAAAATAATTATAATTTAGAGATCCTATTATTAATTGATTTCTCAAATATTCTCTTATCTTGAAATGATCCCTTAATAGACTTCTAATATCTTGCACAAACCCTCTAGGGGTTAAAAACCGGTTATCCATATTTCCTAAGCAAAATCTAGCATTTCTTAAGCACATCTGTAGTTTTATCATATCAATATATCCTTTCAGAGTTATTAATAAACTTCCAGGGACAATTCTTGACATCTTACAACTTAAGGGTATTTTCGTAATTTTACCCTACCAGAGTATTATCATAATTTCCCATCCAAGTACCTTTAACATTTAACCTTTAATAATATAAAATATAAGATACAAATCCATGGCTGATTTCTTTATTACTAATCATAAACTTGTAATTTAATTCTAGTAATCTCTCAATCTCCTATATTAATCATCTGAACCATAATCAGTTGCCAAATTTCTACTGTGTTCAGATCGAGTGTAAGA